GTTAAACCAAGACAAATCATATCCGAATAAGCTATTATTACAGACAGAACCTATAGAATACAATGAGACTCCTGGCGAATCATGTCCAGATGAGTCATTATCACAGACAGAACCTGTAGAATGCAATGGGACTCCTGCAAATACCAAGTAAATGTATACAAAGTGATATTAGCTTTTAAGTCTTTTTTATTTATTTATTAATTTTTATTTTATTTTATAGATCTATTGTGTAGAAGTATTTTAAAAAGCAGAAAGATAGTATAAGCACGAAGTGTGATATTTGTAAAAAATTATTTGCTTATAATAAGAGAACAACATCCAATCTTAAAAAATATCTCAAACTGTATAAGAGCAAAGTGCCTGAGTTAAATAAACCAAATATAAAAGAAGGTATCACTGTTCTAGATATATTAAATCAAAATCACTAGCGTGAATCCTTTAATCAACAAACATTTACTAATCTTATTAAAAGTTGGATTATAAAATGTAATCGATCATTTCAAATCATCGAAGACGGTAAACTTAGATCAATATTTACTTTTTTAAAACTTCGTGCAGTAGGTAAAAATAGTGTTTAATAATAAACTATAATTCATAATAAAAATATAAATAAATATAATACTTGAGTTTTTACAGTACCTTCTGCTAATCTTGTAAAAAGACATATTACAAACAATTTCAAAGAAGAACGTAAACAGCTTCAACAAAGACTGCAAAAATTCCTAGACAAATAGCAATTACAACAGATATTTGGATAACTTTTAATAATGAAAAATCATTTATGGCTATCACAATTTATTACTTAAACACATTATAAAAAATTAAGCATGTTCTCTTTGACTTTATTTTTATGGAAGGATCACATACGGGTGCTGCAATTGCAAATGCTATGGAAGATTGTCTTCAAAAAAATAGGATTATTTCAAAATTAATTGCAATAACATGTGATAATATGTCTTCTAATATAAAATTTTTGAATGATTTTTCTAATTCTTTGTTATTAGCTAGTTTTAATTTTAACAGTACACAGCAATCAATACGGTGCTTCGGCTATGTTTTAAATGTTGCCGTTTAAAGTATTTTGAAAGTTGTAGAAGATGAGTTAGAAAAGGTTGAATAAATTAAGATAATCAAAATAATATTTTTTTTGCATTTTAGAGATACCGTATATATAACTAGAAATATATAAATATTTAAATTTTTTTTGTTTGTTAGTTGTATAGATTAATTAAAAGTATAAGAGGATCACAAATTCGCTGCAAAAA